CTCATCGCAATGACTAGGCTTAGTTGAAAGACAACAAGTATGTCTCTGTGGTATAAAACCAAACCATAGAATCATCAATTTAAGATCAGCTAAGTCAGACGGTGTCTCGCGGTGTTTCATGCCCAATCATTCACTTGTGCTCTGACAAGAAGAGGGGATCGTCAAGTTCCTGACAAAGGAAAACAGAGAGCACAATGTCGATGCAATCCACTGTTTTATAACATACTGCGCTAGATAAGTCATTTCTCTGTAGGCGTTTGAACCGTTGGGTTCGGTTAACACTTATGCCCTCCTCGAAAGTGACTCAGAGACTACGCTCGTCAACGGAGACCTGGTAAAACAATAAGTCATCAATGACCAATCGGCAGTGCTGTCAGCACCCAGTCTCCTTCAGACACCGAAATTTAGCACCGAAGAGACGAATTTCCGGATAGGCGCGATCGAAGGAGTGGAGCGACTAGAAGTGAAAATCTGCCATCTTCTAAAGCTGAAACGCTCCACCCCACCCAAAGAGCAGGTCTTATTCCGGAAGCATTTGCATGATATTGAATTGCCCTCTGTGATCTGAACGAAGTTATGAGTGTTGGGTACTCGGACATCGATATGGAAAACGGGAAGATTTCTATACTCTTCGAGCCACTCTCCGTTTGGTACTCATGGGACCAGTATCTAAACAAGATCTTTAAGAAACAAATATTCATTTTCTGAGCGAGCCAGATACCGCCAGAGCAGGGCCCATACATATGCGAAAATCTGATTTCGGGGAGCTCTTGCATCTTGGATAACGCACACTCAGTGGAGGATAAATGTTTGTTCGAGTTTAATACGCATATAATTCAAGAACACTTAAAAGTCACTTCACACTGAAAAAAACAATTCCCTATATGTCTGACAATGCGCCCGTTGTTCATAGACATTTATGCGATTTGAAAACAGATCCTTAAAAATCTGCGAGTACAAGGGGCTAAAAGATAAAGCTTTTTTCGAATATGTAGACAAGAATTACACAGAATTCTTTGCATGGACGTCAACCGCGGTGTCAGGTCAACTTCGGCATTCACCCTAACACACCGTGACAAATTCGATGAAACATGGGAATCTAAGGAAAGTGCTCCACTTTGCCTCATTCTTCAATTGCTGCCAAGACCAGACAACGCTAACAGTTGCTGTGGCGTTTTGGCTCCATTGCAAGTGTTTCCGTACATAGCGGTGACTAATGTAGAAACTGTGTTCCAACTGGTATGAGTTCCAAGACCTCAAAATCCGTGTTTACGTTTCCTGTTGCCGACAAGTGCTGACCAAGTCCTCAGTCCGGACATCTAGTAAATTGCAGTCCATTCGGTCGGGGCAATCTCTATCCTATGTTTTGCTACTTACGCATTAAATCGATCCATGGATCAGACGATGGACTTCACTGAAGCTCATGATTTCAATTATTTCCGTGGAGGCTTTTATGTTGAGGGTTGCCTGATCAGTCACGAATCTGTGCAAGGACTGCGGGAAGAGATTTCACACCTAAAATCAATCCTACAATATCATGGCTGAGTAACTCGGTTGAGGTTATCATTGTAGTCGGCGAGGAAGTACGAGCGAGGGGAGACAAGTGGCTTGATCTTAAATCAATCGATACACGGAGAACACTAGGTGTCGATAAGAACACGGCTACAAGCACCTTCAGTTTCATTTTCATGTGGCCTGCAGAAACGCCCATTAGAATTCGATGCTCTTATCCATCTCAATCCGCCATTATTCACTTGGTTTTGTTATTCCTGTTTTGTCGTCGACCAAGTTGCTGCGGCGAAATCTGTGCCCAGCCAACCACGGATGGGAGGATATGCACGGATTACGAGTAGACCCGACAGTGAATTTTGTTGGTTTAATAGTTACACGGTCTTGGCTTTGTTCGCATCCGACGCTGCCTGATGCAGGTTTGGTTTTGATACTGTCGAGAAGCATCGACTTCACGGTTTCTCGGACCCCTCAAAGAGTGTGTACGGGATCGTGGTCTAACAGGACGGTGCTGCAGATTAGTCTTTTCTGTGGGGTCAGTCGCGACTGTCGCACCTTGAGGTCCAAACCGCAACAATGTTGGGTACTGAGGAACTGGAAGAACATGCGGCAGCAGTTGACATACGTGGCCTATATTACTGCACCTAGGAAGCTGGCTGTCGTCGCCAGGCGACTGCCTTAACCACTATAATACAAACAGTCGAAACCAGTCTCGTCAATGTAATGTATTGGTAAGGAGTCAGCTTTCGTGAACAAGAGGTTGGATGTTTTAATTGTATTATAATCGTACTCGTCAAATCCAGTTTCCGGTGGCAATCACTAGGTGCGTCTGAGATAGTGAAGCAGTGAAGAAGGCCGGGTTGGAACTAGCACCGCCATTTGCAGCCAAGGTCCAATGTAGGGACTCGAAGTTCGTCTTACAACTAATACGAAACACCACATCGTGTCTGATAATATTTGTTGTCAACTGCATGCCTATACTATTAGACTAATCAGATGCATCTCGCTTGCGGTACGTCAATTCTGAGAATAATCCGGCGGACTTATTTTCGAGGGGAGTCGATACCAACAGGCTAAACCTAAGGGGGAATCTACTGTTGGTCCGTCGCATCTAGTTACCGATGATTATGCATTAAATTTCCAGGTGAAATTAAGTGTTCCCTGTCCTAATCTTAGCCACAACTGCCATCCTATCCATGCCCCCAAAAATTATCCTAAGTCTAACTCTTATAAACGCAACATTGACCCTAATCCAGACAGCAATAGGGACGAACCCGTTTTAATTCTGACGAAAGTCATGCTGGACACTACTCGGTCATGATCTTCGGTAGGTGTCAGCCCATGGGGAAATTGACGTCAAATGGGCGGGGTAGAAGAGGAATTGGATCGATTGCTCCGGAGTAGACACGTGAGGAGCCGAAATCTTTATTTTGAATGCAGAGAACACAAGATACGGCCGTAGCATTGCAATAACAATTTTTGGTTAGATGATAGTTGGTAGCCCTCCCGGTACCGAAAACTCCCAGCTACCTGACTTACGGGACCGGGTGAGGCAAATGAGTGGAGGCGTAAATTGCACTTGTAGGGAATGCCTGGAATTGACGATCCTGATAAAGTGGAAACCTAATTTAAATAAGGTGAAAAATGCGAGGAAAGTGAAAATTTCGGGTCTGACTGACGTATGGCACGCCTTGCTGTTGTAGTCTGAACCCAAGAGGTAGTAAGTGCGCGATGTGGTAGGTGAAGTGCGCGCAGTTCAAACCCAGCAATGTCGAAGCGCTCGGGGGGGGGGTGCCGTAGTGCCTTACCGTGGAAGTGCAGGAAAGGATCTATAACTGGCCATGGCGGTGTTTACAAGGCGTCACAGTTTTCAGCCAAACCCCCGAGACCAAATTCAACTGGGCTGTTCGTAAGGGCGGGGGGTGAAGGGCAACACTCTATCAATACGACTGATGCAGTGGATGGAGTATCGGTAGACACCCTAACTGAGCGTCGGTTGTCCTTTCGTACAAGATCGCACCGGACTCTACTGGAGGTCTGGAGTAAAAAGACCCAAGGATGCAGGCAAACCGACGAAACGGAGACCCGCATCAATCCGCCTAGGATTGTACTTATGCAATTAATCTGATGCAGGTAATACTGTGCGCACATGCAACTAGAAGCATAATGGAAAGCATGATGAATCATAATCCGTTTAAGATAAATCTTTCGCCTTTTACTAAAGATTTCCGTGTGGGGGTGCAATACAATGAGTCTATATAGACAGTCTTGCAGCGCCTCGTTCTCGGGGCGGTTAAAGTGAAAAAGAAACTCATCCTAACAAGGCCTCTGTGCGTGCACCCCTAAGACATGATGAGGGCGTTATCACAGATACCCAAATCGAGCCAGTAGGTACAATTGTAGAATCAGTGGACAGGGCTACCAACTACCATCCTACCCAATTTTTCAGTGGAGACTGCTTGAAACGTTAACCTTTAGTCATTTCCTCTGAGCTGGTCAACAGACCTTCCAATGATTGCGTTCCCGGTCGACAGTCCCGTGTGTAAAAATTCACTGCTTGGATTTCAATGCTATTGCAAATACCAGTTTGAAAGCCAATTTTGCCAGACCTTACTCAGATGGGTAGTTTAAAATAACGCTCTGGAATAGTGTATTGAGTGGAATATGTCCCTCTACCTCTTGCTACGCGATGGCGTATTTGGACGACTGTTTTGAGACCCTATTGCCATGTCCATTCAGTTGCGTGCACATAATTTGGTAGCAGCATAGGCATAAGTGAAAGGTCCACGACCCTGAGGATAAGGGGACGGTGGGTGAGCCTATCTGTCAGATGAACTATCAAAAGGCGCATTTAAGAAACGAAGAGGAGAATAAGGAGGAGGGGGAAGAGGGGGGAAGGAGAAGCAGGTGTTAGTGGTGGTGGTGGTGGTGGCGGTGGTCGATGAGGGTGAGGGAACGCTGAAACCCGTGAGTTAAGAAACCATTACCGTCAGGTTACCAGCGTCAATTATTACATTGTCTGTGTACTTCGGCGAGGTATGCCTTCAGAAGTTTACAACTGTGCCCCTGTTTAAGCACGAGTGCTCTCAAAATAGCTTTGACATGGCCGAGTGCATTTGTTCGCACATGTAAAAAAAATTCTAACATTCGTCAGGGCCACAGAAACGAACAATTTGAAACCTGAAGACCTGTGGCAGTTCGCGTCTCCTCGCCCTCTGCCTTTGTCACGCTGCCGTCCTGTCCGCCTCACACTCCTTGTCGACACGCCGCTGGGACGCACGAGGATCCTCACTAGTCTCGCGAGTGCTCGAAGCCAATCAACGCTGTCCCCACTCTGATTGGATGGCGAACGTGGAGACAAGGAAGGGCGCACACGCGTTGACACAACACCTCAAAGGCGGACACAGACAACAGATTGTTTGGAGTGCGCTCGCGGCGATTGCCTACAGATCCCTTGTGTACGCACTTCCTCAGGCAGTAAAGGTCGTCAAATCAAACCGTCTTCCCTGACTTTTGATTGGGAATCTTTACCTTGTCGACCACGCAACATTTGACAATTGGTGACCCCTTTACGAACAGCAATCTTTCTTGCTAATCTACGATAAAGCCAGGCGTTGATCATGGACAAATTTCCACCGGAAGTGCAGCATATTTTGGCATCCTCCTCCGGCATTCTTTCGGCAGCGCAACTTCCTCAGATGGCTGATTGTCTTATGGAGATGCACGGCTTTTCCAGGCCGTCACTTTCAGCACTCTCAACTCCCTCAACTCATCCTACGTCTACCCTTTCACAGTTGGAGATCGAGCTAAACAGGCTGGCCGATGATATAGCTTCACTCCAGAAGCAGACAGTCTTCGCCTCATTTCGGAGCCAACCGAAGCCGTTCACCCCGCATCTTCAGTCTTCACCTTCAGCCCGTCCAAACGCAGCTGCCATCTGCTGGTACCACGCCACCTTTTGTGTTAAAGCCCGTCGCCGTATCTCTCCCCGCTCCTTCGCCTCCTAGCAGAGCAAACTGGTAAAACCGGTGAACCCGAAGGTCAGTGCAGCCAATCTTCTCGACAGCTCTAAATCTGGCGGCACCTTCCATGTTTGCGACACTGCGACTCGCAGACGTTCCTGGTGGACACTGGAGCCCAAATCAGCGTTGTTCTCCCAACTGCAGCTGATCGCCGTTTTCCTAGCCCTGGTCTTCACCTCCAAGCTGTCAACTGTTCCCACATTTCCAAATTTCGGTAGTCTCTCCCTCACCCTGAACATTGGCCTTCGTCGGTCATTTACTTAGATCTTCGTGATTGCTGATGTCCCTCATGCAATCATCGGCTCGGACTTTCTTGCCGAGTTCGATCTCCTTGTTGGCCGTCGACGTGCCCGTCTCCTCGACCGCACAACCGGTCTGTTTGCTCGTGGACTAACTCCCTTTACTGTCCCCATCAACTTATCTGTCTTGGATATGGATATTGCTTATCCTTTTCGGCAAATGCTGCTTAGTCATCCCAACATAATTAACCCCGTTTCGCAGTGGTGAGGTTCAAAATGATGTTGTGCAGCATATCCGCACCTCAGGTCCTCCAGCGTTTGCTCGACCGAGACGACTAGCACCGGAGCGTTTTCAGGCCGCGAAGGCGGAGTTTGAACACAGGCTGCAACTGGGAATAATTCGACCGTCCGAGAGCCCTTGGGCGTCCCCACTGCACATGGTTCCCAAGGCGACGTCAGGCGACTGACGACCCTGTGGCGACTGATAGAAGCGAACAGGCGAGTCCCAGGTAGCAGTTCAGAAGATGAAGATGCGATCACTGGGACAAGAAGTTTATTTGCCTGACGTTTCGGATTCTCACTCGAACCCATCATCAGAGACATTCGCAGATAGAGTTGAAGGTGGCACCAGGAGTGCAGTATTTATAGCACGTGGCTGCCGTGGGACCGTATGCGCACTGCAATTAACAGTTCTCACAATCGCCGCTGGGGTCGTAATTGATGCGGCGGTGGCTTGGCGGTCCGAGTCCGAGTTGTTAATTGCCGCGATTTCGTCATCCGTGCTCGATGCTGGTGTGACGATTGCTCGGCAAACTGGCTCACTGTCACCGTGATAATTGCTCACCCGCGCCCTCCCCACGTGACTGATTCTCCTGCCCAGGGAAAATCGCAATACGGAATAGGCCACCGGGAGGTCATTGTGTTTGTTGATGGATTGCGGGCCTGAGAACCATGACTCGAGCAGCTCGCGGCTCACGCGGTTGTCACCCCTTGCGAGGATTTCGGCCTCTTGAAATTTGAAATTATGGCCGGGTCCCGTCGAGTGTGCCGCCACCTGAGAGTTAGCGTCTCCCCGCCTCACTGCTGCTGCGTGCTCGGCAAGTCGCCTACGGAGTAATCTCCCAGTTTCTCCGACATAATTGCTTTGTCCGCAACTACACCAGATCCGGTAAACGACTCCAGACGTTTCCTGCCGTGGCAGCGGGTCTTTTGGCCTCATTACTTGGCGTCTAATGGTTGCTTCCGGCCTGTGTGCAACCCCAACTCCAAGTGGAGTGAGAAGACGACTGACGGCTTCCGAGACGTTCTTCACGTACGGAAGAGCCCGCCAAAATTTGGGGCTAGTTGGATTTGGTCTCTGGTGTCCTTTTCGTATGCACTGGTTGACAAAGTTGCGCGGGTAGCCATTGGCTCTCATTACCCGTCGAAGATATTGTAATTCAGCAACCTTGTCTTCCATTTCACTGCAGTGCGTCTCAACACGCCGGTATAGCGCCCTTACGCAACTGCGTTTGTGACTGATCGGGTGGTTGCTATTGAAGTTCAGTATTTGCGTCGTATTTGTCGCTTTCCTGAACACTTTGGTTTTTAGGCCACCACAATCTTTGCGGCAGACGAGGACATCCAGGAAGGCCAGCTGATTGTTTTCCTCCTCCTCCATCGTAAATTGAATGTCCGGGAAGACGGCGTTGAGTTGTCCTTTGAAAGTCAGCACCTGATCCCGTTCGATGACGACGAAGGTGTCATCCACATACCGAGCCCAGAATTTCGGTCTGTGGTGTCGGAAAACCAGCGACTCCAGCCGTTGAAGGACCGCCTCGGCTATGAGTCCCGAAATCGGCGAACCCATTGGCGTTCCCTTCACCTGCTCGTAGATTGTTCCGTCGAATGTAAAGTACGTCTTGAGACAGAACTTCAGGAGCTGGATGATTTGGGCGTGTCCGAGGCGATTCTCCGTTTCGTCGTACTTCTCTCGTAGGAGTAGTTCGATTGTCTCGACTGCCAGGTCCTGCGGGATAGAAGTAAAAAGGGACGTGGCGACTATCGTGCCCCCAACAGCGCTATCATTCCGGATCGGTACCTCGTGCCTCATCTTCAGGACTTTGCTGGAGCGCTTTTCGGCAAAGAGGTTTTCTCGAAGATTGATCTGGTGCGTGCTTTTCATCAGATTCCAGTCGTCCTGAGTACATCCCTAAAACCGTCGTCACCACACCCTTCGGTCTCCTTGAGTTCGTCCGCATGCCGTTCGGTCTACGTAATGCCGCCCAAACGTTCCAGCGGTTCATCGACCGTGTCTTACTTGGCCTGCCCTTTGTGTATGTCCACAGTGATGACCTCTAGGTAGCCGGCCGGAATGAAGAACACAAAGAGCAGTTTCCTTGGTGTTCGACCGTCTTGACAAGTTTGACGTTGTCAACAACTGCTCCAAGTGCGTGTTGGGTGTGCCTTTACTCGACTTCCTCGGCCATCAGGTCGACTCTGAAGGTTTGCGTCCCCTCCCCTCCAAGGTTGAAGCAGTTCGTAATTATCCTCCTCCAACTTCCAAGCGTCAGTTACAGCGATTCCTCGGCATGGTCAATTTTTACCGCCGGTTCCTACCGAACTGTGCTGATCTCATGATGCCGCTAACCAACATTCTTTCTTGTCCAAAAGGTCCCCTCGAGGTGACTGGTGAAGCACAGACTGCTTTTGAGAGAATCAAGAATTCCCTTGAAGATGCCAACTTACTCACACATCCCGCTCCCGAGGCTCAGCGGTCTCTGATGGTAGATGCTTCGACCGTAGCCGTAGGTGCGGTCCTTCAACAACACCTTGCTGGTTCGACTCGACCACTTGCCTTTTTCTCCAAAAAAACTCTTATCAACTGAGACACGCTGCAGTACCTTTGTCCGTGAACTACTTGCCATTTACCTGGCTGTGAAGCATTTTCGGCATTTCCTTGAAGGTCGTAACTTCACTAATTTCACTGACAACAAACCGTTGATTTTGCACTTCGTCCCCACTCCGACAAGTGCAATCCGAGGGAAATCCCACCTGGACTACATCTCCCCATTCACCATCGACATCCGCCACATTGATGGCACGAAGAACGAGGTGGCTGATATGCTGTCCAGACCCTCCCTGTCTTCCCTCCAACCCTCACACGGGATCGATCTTTATGCCATGGCGGCTGAGCAACAGAAAGTCGGTTGTCCTGGTGACGAGTCTGTTAGTGGTCTCCTACTCAAAGACGTTCCTCTGACCACCGGCTCTGGTACCCTACTTTGTGACGTCTCAACTCCCTTTCATCGCCCTTTCGTGCCCGCTTCGATGCGTCGAGCTGTATTTCAAACTTTGCATGGACTCTCCCACCGTGGGATCCGAACCTCTCAAAAGCTCCTCGCGGAAAGGTTTGTCTGGCCTGGCATGAACAAGGACGTCAAAGCCTGGGCCCGGTCGTGTGTGAGCTGCCAGCGCAACAAGGTGCAGCGTCACAACAAGTCCCCACTAGGCACTTTCCCCAGTCCCGACGCACGGTTCAGCCATATCCACCTGGATTTCGTAGACCCTTGCCTCCATCCAATGGTTTCACCCACCTCCTTACCTGTGTCGATCGATATACTCGCTGGGCTGAGGCTATTCCTTTGCCGAATGTTCAGGCTGAAAAAATTGTGAAGGCCTTCGTCAGTCGTTGGGTCGCCATGTTCGGTGCCCGATCCACGGTTACGACTGATCGTGGTGCCCAGTTTGAGTCGGCACTCTTCCAAACGCTTCTCAATTTCCTTGGCTGGCCACGCATTCGGAAGACAGCTTACCACCCAGCTGCCAACGGTATGGTGAAACGTTTCCATCGTCAGCGAAAGACCCTCCTGCGTGCCGTAGAAGACCCAGGAAACTGGTCAGACGACCTTTCTCTTGCACTCTTCCGCATCCGCTCAGCTATGAAGTCGGATCTGGGCTATAGCGCAGCTGACTTGGTTTTTGCACTACCCTCCGACTGCCAGGCGAGATGATCACCCCAACCTCTCGTGGGCCGACGAGACTCCTGACAACCTCGTGCAGCGTTTGCGACAATTTATGCGCTTGCCTTTCCCGGTTCCACCTCGAACTCCAATGACTGAGTCTTATGTCGAAAAAGACTTGAACAAGTGTACTCATGTGTTCGTACGGTGTGACCGTGTGCGACAGCCGCTGGAATCACCATACGAAGGACCGTTCCGCGTGCTTGCGCAAAACACTAAGACCTTCCGGATTCTTCACACTGACAAGGAGGACGTGGTCGGTGTCGATCGGGTCAAGGCTGCTGTTACAGAGGAGCCGCCGGACCGGTACAACGGACAAAAATTTGCTGACACCCTAAACCCTGTTCCTCCATCTTCCATATTCCCAGCTCATTCACCCTACCAACTACCTCGCCCTTCCCCTCCCTTGCTCTCTAACCCTCCGTCCCGTATACTTCCTTTGCCCCCATGTCCGCAACCCACAACTGCAACTACTCCTTCATCAACCAAAAACACTGTAACCGCGAGCTATACTCACTCTATTGTTGTGCCGCCTGTGTATATCACCCGTAGTGGACGCCATGTTCACTCTCCTGATCGTTTGGTTACTCATGCTTTTTAGACATCAACGGTTTCTTCGGCATCGCTACGCGCCGCCTTCGGTCTAGCCGGAGGGTACTGTGGCAGTTCGGGTCTCCTTGCCCTCCGCCTTTGTCACGCTGCCGTCTTGTCCGCCTCAAAATCCTTTTTGACATGCTCTTAGGACGCGCGAGACTCGTCACTAACCACGCGAGTGCTCGAAGCAAATCAACGCTACCCCCACTCTAATTGGCTGGCGGACGTGTAGACAAGGAAGGGCGCACACGCGCTGGCACAACACCCCGAAGGCGGACACAGACAACAGCTTGTTTGGAGTGCGCTCGCGGCGATTGCCTACAGATCCCTTGTGTACGCACTTTCTCAGGCAGTAAAAGTCGTCCAACTCAAACCGTCTTCCCTGACTTTGATAGGGAATTTTTATCCTGTCGACCACACAACATCCGACAGACCGTCATTTTTTGCACTATGCGGATACGCTGTTAAATGGATGCCACCTCATTAAAAAAATTAAAATTGGCGGATATTTATGAGACAAGATGAGGCAGCCTGTTCTTGCCATTTAAATGAGAAAGTTGGTCGATAGACACGGAGTAACCATACGAGGAGATGCAATCTCCGATTATGTTGCTTGTGAGAGTTCTGAAGTTGACAATGACGACTGAAGTGAAGTTCAACCTCCTTCAGAGAAATGACTTATCTAGCGCAGTATGTTATGAAACAGTGGATTGCATCGATATTGTACTCTCTGTCTTCCTTTGTCAGGAACTTGACGATCCCCTCTTCTTGTCGGAGCACAAGTGAATGATTGGGCATGAAACACCGCGAGACACCGTCTGACTTAGCTGATCTTAAATTGATGATTCTATGGTTTGGTTTTATACCACAGAGACATACTTGTTGTCTTTCAACTAAGCCTAGTCATTGCGATGAGGTGAAGGGTAAAAGGGCCCGATTGGTAGGCGAAGTGGGAATCTTCACACTGCAGACAATTTCGACGCATCGTTTCTTGATTTTGGTACAGAGGTGTCGATATATCTTGCTTATGATGCGTATGGACCTTGTAAATACATTCCTGATCATATTAGGGATTCATTTGACTAGAAACGGAGCCTAGATAGAATGCCTGATATGTTATAAGTACCTCGACGCTCTTCACCACGAAATCAGCTAGATTCAAGAATTCTGGTCCTCTACTATAAGGTAATATTAACGAGCGAATTTTAATCACTTCTGCTGTAGTGGTTGGACAGGTCCCCTGACGAGGTCTTGAATTGCCGACCACTGATTCGAACACTAGTGATGGAGAAAATGAACGGGAATAGCTCCTACAAGACAAATACGAGGAAACGGTGAACCGCCCTAGACAGAGACGTATACGAATACGTGAAGCGTAAAAGAATACTTTCGCTGATTTCGAAATCCACAGATCCAGAGAGCTTAGAACTTTATTAATTTATCAATGCTAATTTCAGCTACAGAAAAATCAAGGGTATTTGAAAAAAGGCACCAGAATTGTACTTCGGTTGCGCCAAAATTTCACGCTCTTTAACAATTTTTCTCCCATCTCATGAACCGTATTGGGTTGTGCTGCACCTGCATATTGCTCATTGGCTGTATAGTGTAGTGAGTCTCAACTCCAGCGGAGTTTTTCAGTGTGAAGGATAGACTGGTCTCCTCCACTTTACCGATGATCCGCAAGAGTTTGTATTCCTGACCATTGATTGGTTCTGAAACATCCAAATAGCAGTTAAATTCCCAGCCCGCACTTTCATTTCCCAAACGATCATCATTAAATGTCAACTTACCATATGGTATAAACAGTTCCGCGCCATTTACAGCCGCATTCGTTGAAAACTTTGAAATGGGGACCCCAAGATATACTTCCTTCAGAATGCAAAGCAGATGTTGTGCATGTATCAAGTTTCACCAATACACTTGTATGCGCAAACTGATGAGGGCACGATGGCATCAAATATTGTAAATGTCGTGCAAATGTAAAATAAATTATAACACAACTAGACAAGCACTGTAAATCAAGGTTTGCTTACCTTAATGTCTTTGTCAAACACTAGTGTTAGCGAGTCCATAAAATCACGTTTAGCGCAGAATGATTCGGTGAATGAGTCACTAAAGGGTTCTGTCAATGGAGGACGCATAATTGAAGTGAGCAACAGATTAAGTTACGACTGCAAATGATGGCGATGCATGATTCAGAGCAATTTAAAGATTTAGTGCACAAAGTTTGCGACAAAATGAGTACAAAACGATTACAGAAATATGTACTATGATAGCATTCGTCACTTCCCACTATCGATACTACGACGTTCTGCAGTCCGGCCTCTTCAGGAACAAGGAGAATCTTTTTCTTGTCAGTCTTGGTGTTTCCGTATATTTGAAGACTGCGTTTTTCTATCAAGACAGAAATAATCGTTATGTGAGTCAAAATATGAGACATGAGCAATTAATTTGCTACTGCGGTTAAACGAATGAAACTAAGCATATTAAGTTGCTTGAGTGCTCCGCGAACTGCGGTTACTGTGACCAATCAAAGTCACTAAGGATTTAAGGAAGGATGTGGCTTAACTCAGTGTAAAGTGACAAAGAAAGCACTCTTCTTATTTCTGAGAATGGGAAATTTGAGAACTGACTTGTCAAACAAAATGCCTCACCGAAAGTAAATCGAAGAGAAACGTGTAAATCGTTAATTTCTATCATAAGCGCTTAGGTGTGGAATAAACATCATATGTATTCTGATCTTTCTAAGCAGACTCACGTGGTAGTAATTGTAAACACATTTCAAGCGCCCCGCAGTCTTCGTCGATTGTCTTTTCAACGAATCCTGATTCCGATTAGCTGAACTGTACGAAACACAAATGTGAGTATGTGCTGAAATAGATGATGAATTTCAGCGGTGTATGAAATATTTGCTTGACGTACCGAACTTGAGGCATCGACCCTTATGACATATTCAAAGTTTGTGTTTGGTGGCACATTATATGTGTCTGCGAGAGTGGTATATTCAAAAATAAGTTGGCAAGCCTACTTTGGTGAGAATCAGCAAAGGCAACAGAAAGAAGCAGAACTGTGACTAGCACTGACTTCATGTTTGCTTGATACGATAGCTTAAATTCCTGCATGCGAACTCCGGTTAAAACTAAACTAAGGACTTCAAACCAGGGATTGGCCACAGTGTTATTGTCTGCATGACCAGAGCCTTGAGAGATTTTATAGGTTTTTCAGTCGTCTACGATCGTCCAATCATACTCGCCATGTGGGTGTGGCCTTATTGAGAATGTTGACGATATTTTTTTTTACTGCTGTAGGGTTTTCGTGAAGACAATCACTTATTCATTCTTACTAGTGCAGCCATTAGATGCGGGCATTATGGACAACAGCAGTGTCATACGATGTTTTGGGTGATTTGATGGTTTGGCTGTCGGTTCACATGTTTTGTTCTTTTTTGCGAAAATAATTTTACGGGTGGAGTACAGACGTGGCTTTTCCAGACCAACAAATCCTTAGACGTTGAAGACGGAGGGATAGGGTGGGAGAGATAAGGAGTAAGAAATGGAGAGATTGTAGAGTTTGAGACGGAGATTTAGGAATAGATAGAAAATCGTCTCATTGTAAAAGTATCGTTGCAGAATCTTCGGCTAAACATGCCATTACTCCGGTACTGAACGAGTAATTTAGTAGAAGAGTAGACAGTTAATGGGTTTTTATGTGATTCCTTATTATTCTAAATACAGTATGAGCCTCACTTCCGTAATTCGGTCTCTTGGCACGCAAGATATCCTGCCAGAGTTGGTTATGTGGAAAGTTGATATGTAAAAACAAGAGGTATGTCGGAAGCCACAGCACATGGGCGTAAACATTTCTCAGCAGTTAATTCAGAGTTGAGGGAATGACCGAAATTACCAAAAAGTAAGTGGTTTCTTTCTTAATTTGATCATCCCTGCTGCTTTAACGATAGGCCGAGTGAACAAACCATTCGGACACATCATCTCTTATAATCCGCAGGATGATTCCTTTAATATTTTTGATTGACGTCAGCCCTGAATTCTTTTCGGTAGATGCTTGTTGCAAGGCGGCCATCACTGAACTTTTGGATACTAACGTCTAGAACTGAAGGACTTATACCTGCTTGCATTTCGCTAATAAACTGGATAGGTGGGAAGCCGATATTCAGACCAAAATGTAATTGCTTAACTTCGCATGTCTTCATGATAGCAAAAGTATCATCTGGGCATCAAATCCGCATGTTTATTTCAAAGTTTCGCATAACTAAGAAATGCTTACTGGAACTCGCCTGTTCGCTTGTATCAGCTTTCGCATAACTTCCTCTTCTACTTGTTGTATAACAAGTTCACATATTAGACCTTATATTGACCCAACCTGTTGATAACGATCCTTTCGAATTCGGTTTGAAATTTTCGACTTGCGACGGATTTGACTTTTCCGAGATTTCTGGCTACTAGACGCTCTGAGGGCCCATTTGGATTAAGAAATTGGATTGTAATCAACAATTTCTCGATTTACACGGAACTTCGACGGGACTTTCTCTGGAACAACCATTTTCTTTCGGACCACTTCTTTGTCAACAGCCCCGCGGGACCCCCCCTTCCGAAAACGGCTGAGTCGCTTGTTACTTGATTCATATCGTTCGTCTGATTAAATAGCTCCTCGAACATCCTTAAAAACATATCCAGTTTATATACTTGAAAATGGTAGTCAAACAAGTGCCTTCGGGATGTTGCTCAAAGCGCGCGCCCCAAGTGGGATTCGAACCCAGAAAAGGAGGTGACGAGGGCGACGTCGTTACCAATGGACCACAGACGCGAAACAGACGGGTTAAAAATAATGGTTTAATAAAAATGCACATTGTCTAAATGAATATAACATCGGCTTCCTCATTATAAAATCTTCTGCCAAACGGGCCAGGAGTTTAGTAACCTTAATGGATGACAACTATAAGAACGAACATAATACACATGCGGCATGTTTCAAACTTCTCCAGAAAGTCTTGGAGATGGAAAATGAGATAAAAGACCTAAAATAGAGATGGAGAAGTTGACGAACCTTCCTCGTCATTCACCCGTAAAGATAAAATCGGCGATGTCAGACCCTCAGAACACAAAGAGAACATATTCAAGCCCAGTCTCATAAACTGAATCAGCCGCCAAGGAAGAAATCACAACTGAGACCCGGCCTCTTCTGCAAGAAAAGAACGACAGAGAGGGATCTCAGGAAACGCAGAAGCGCCCCGGGGCATCCCGAAAAGAAAAAGCAGGTCAGACTGTCCGTATGCGAAAGCAGAGTTCACACACAATGCCAGCAAAAACCACACTGCCGAAGGATGTATCGCACGACCAAGAAGACTCGGCTGGTGAGGAATCCTGTGGTAAATATGCCATCACAGCTGTCTCTGAGTCAAACGATGATGACATTTAAAATTACCGAAATTCTGAATGTGTGTGTAAAAATAAACGAAGGGGCTCTCTTCCAAACAGGCATCTCTACCGAAAACGAAACATCATCGAAAAGAGAGCTCCTGAGTCCAATTCGTCGATTGCAAGCGAAAGAATAGAACACATAATTAAATGTCGTCCTTCAGGACGGAGAATGTGTTACCGTGCACAACGCTTTCCGTTTAGGAAACGCAGATGTGTCGCGTGCATTACCAAGACTTCTTAAAATTATTCTTGCAAATGAAGCCCAGGCCTCACATCTCCTAGAAGGGAGGATGGCCCTTCGTCATTCGCATAAGGAAGTGTTTTTTTCAGCCGGATTACGAACCAACAGAAAGACGCAAGATGAGAGAGCTCTGGACATAACTGAAAAGAAGGACAGAAGAGGGGGAGATGGGATTGAAAATAAAGGAAGGCAAGATAATACAGATCAAACGATCGTTCCTGTAGCTAACCCTCTTTGCAATCAGGGCCAGTTCCCCTCGAGAAGACGGACACTAAAGGTGCTGTATTCGAATGTGTAGAGCAAGACCTGCTCGAACAGAAACGTCCTTATTGTCGGGGACTTTAACGCCCCCAATATCGAGTGACAAGCTTGGACGGTTTCGGGTCCATCAAACACATTCGGACAACATTTGCTTCAATTGGCAGCAGAAGAACTACTTTTCCAGAATGTAACTCTCGAAACACGTGTTAAGGAAGGACCACGTTCAAACTGCCTTGAACTGGTGCTCAGTCGAGATGAGGAGAGTGTGCTGAATATACAAGATCTCCCGCAAATGGGTGCTAGTGATCATATTGTGATGCTCATTGAGTATTCCATGGTCTCCCAGTCTAATTCACCTGAAAAATTACAAGCAAATATCTAGAAGGGGGATTTTGCTAGCATGTGAACGCAAGTCTCAGCAACACCGTGGACAACCACATTGCAGGGAACAGTTAATGACTACTGGAGCACGTTCAGATCACTGGTTAAAAGAATCGACAAGCGACAGCGGAATGCGTGTAAACACAAGGATTATAGACTTCGAAACAACTATGGGCTGTGCATATTAGGAAATTCCTTGGAGCATCCTAAAATCCTCTATAGTTACATACGTAAGGGACAGAGCAATCATGAACCGATTCCAGCGCTACGATCCCAAAACAGAGTAATTGAGACAGATGACCACCTGAAAGCATCAGCCTTCTCCAATTTCTTTCAGTCGGTATTCACTCATGACACAAACCCTCCTGCCATGCCATACGTAGACCAACGACAAAATCCTTCCTGTCCTACATTGGAAGACAGTCTTTTCTTCTCGTCCACGTTGATAAGAACCGAACTACGCCGGCTGGAACCTGCCAAATCACCTGGTTCAGATGAAATTCATCCAATTGTCCTCCGAGAATTAGCTGATGCACTCTGTGAGCCGGTGTCCCAGATATTTCGGAAGTCTATGGAGGAAGGCGAACTGCCGGAGGAATGGAAAACGGTCCATATTTCTCCAATCTATAATGGAGGATCCAGGCAGGAACCCGAAAACTACCGTCCTATTAGTTTAATCTGCATTCTGTGCAAGGTCATGGAACGACTTATTAAAGGGCATTTAATGTCCAATCTGGAGCAGAGGGGCCTGTTATGTGTTGCTCAGCACGGATTTCGTTGTGGTCACTCCTATGTTACAAGCTGTCTTTACTCTCAGGAAAAGTGGACAAGAGCCATAGACCAGGCCCGTCCAGTGGACGTCATCTTCTTTGACTTTAAGAAGGCGTTTGATAGCGTTCCTCATGGACGACTCCTACAGAAGATTTGGGAGTGTGGAATACAGGGCAACACGTTTTAGTGGATTAAAGGTTTACTTTTCTGCAGGCTCCAAAGAGTGAACTTTAGTGCCACCGCATCCGAATGGGTGACAGTAAAAAGCGGCGTTCTGCAGGGCTCAGTCTAGGGTCATCTCCTCTTCCTCATCTATATAAATGACTGTCCTGCAGACCTTGAATGCGATGGCCTCATGTTTGCAGATGATATAAAGAGCTGGACAACAATCAGCTGCGTTGAAGACGCGCAGAAGCTACAGGAAGATATAGCTAACCTGGCTGCGTGGTCCAGCAAGTGGCTTCTAGCATTTAGCGTATCCAAGTGTGTAGTCTTGCGACTAGAATCTGGACGGAGGCGATTCCCAAAACACCAATACACCATAAATGAGGTTCTACAGAAAAACCTAGGTGTCTGGACATGCTCAAACTTGCTGCCCTCTCAGCACTGCAAAAGAGTCGTCCAAAAGGCAGCCAGCATCATGCACTGGATTAGGCGTGCCTTCAAAATCTTTTCCCCAGAACTCTTC